ACATCCTAAAAAATAAGACTTCTAATTATCTTTTTTTTTAATTGGTGGTTGAATCTTCCACCTTACTCAAAAAAACAAGTTATTTAATTATCACCCTTAAATCGTCCAATGGTAAAGACAATAAAACGGGTTTAAAAAAAAAATTTGAATCAGCCATTAGCTTTCAAGGAGAAAAAGTTATTTAGTCAGTGAATAAATAATAATTCTAAAAATAAAGTGTGATAAGATATATATATAAACTTGAAAAATGTGAAAAGGGAAAAAAAAAATGATATAGACGACGTCGTTTGCTTCGTGGGTCGGGTCGTGTCTTTAAAAAATTCTGGGTCGGGTCGGGTCACGAAATAACCCGACTGGAGTGAAGAGCGGGTCACAACAATTTCGTAAATACGGGAGAGAGAGAGAGAGGAGAGGGAGAACAGAAATGTCTTTGGTAGACTACGCTTCATCGGACGACGACGTGCCGGCGGCGGCGGAGGAGGAGCAGAATCCGGAGCAACCGGAAAACCACCGCGTGGAGGAGCCTCAGTTCCCGAAGCACGAACCTCAGCCTCAACCTCCTCCTCTCAACCAGTAATTTTTCTTCCATTTCTTTAGATTTCGTAATTTCTAAGTAGAATCCTGGTGCTTTTCGGAATTTAATTATTTTCCTCTCCTAATTTTTCATAAAGCATCTAGGCCTTGTTTTCGAAGTTAACAATGTGTCGACACCAGGAAAAATTGGAGGTTCTGTAGTAGTTAGGGTTGTGTTATTAAACTGATCCGGAAGAGAGTTGTTGTGCTTCAAAATGCTGTTGAATGGCTTTTTAAATTTTGGGTTTTATATGGTGTTTTGCAAATTTGAAATGGCCGCTTTTGTTCCTGAAACCTATTTGGTTTTAGGGGATGCTTTAACTGTTGGTTCGATTACCTTGGAACAAAATAATTGGTGTTTTTAGCTTTGTTTACTGGTGGATGTGATTTCTTTCCTTATGATTGGCTTTGTAGGCCCATTCTTAAACCGAATCAGCCATTGGAAACTAATGGGGACTCTTCTGTGTTTTCGGTTGAGCTTCCTGATGCTTCCCTACTATTGAATTCTCCTACTTCTTCTAGTCTTTTTGGTGGTAGCGATCACTCTTCACGAGTGGCTGCAGCTATGGCTGCCAATGCATCTCGCAAGAGAGAAACAAATGTTTCAGCATCTGCTCTTCCCCGGAGTAAAGTTCCAAGATCGACTTTGCCTCACTCAAAGAATGTTCCAGATACTTTAGGTCGATCGTTGGTTCCACCTCAGCTTACCGGAAGGTCTGTTCTTAT